AGTGACTGGTGTGCTGCCCATCACTTTCCAGTCTGTAGCTGGGGGGAAGAGAGGGAGGAGAGAAAGAGGTCATTTCCTTTGGAATGAAAAGATTCAGTTTGAAAACAGGGCACTTTTTGAAACAAGACACCCAACCCCCACTCACTAGACTGATGGAGGGTTATTTGTGTCATGCTTTTGACTCATAACTCTGGGAACAGTAGCTGACCAGTATGCTTGTCAGCCTTGTGCCTGTGTGGGCAGTTTTATGGAAATGGGAATAACAAGGGTGGAGAGAGGGAAAAAGTGACAAGTGCGAATTAAAATTAAACTGATTATTCTGCCTTTGCTTGGAGCCTCCCAGAATCCTGCTCTTTCCTGCTATAATTGGCTGAAGACAGGCAAGTTTACTGCAGAAAGGGGGAGTGCCATTTATTTAATCTCAGTTGCCATGACAGGCTTGTCTACAACTAGATCTCTCTGGTAAACCATCCTACATGTTGTGTTTTACTGGGCCTGCTCTCATCTTCTGTAGGCACAGTGTAAATGCTGTGTTAAATCCATCACATCTGTGCTATGCACAAGGCACATAAAATGTGTTAATATTTTCTCACCGCAGCTGAGGCCTGCTGCTCCTTATGCCCCTGATGCCATTATTAAAGCTGGGAATTACAGCTGGTATCATCATATGTTCCTGGGATCCACTTTCCGTAATGAGCAAAGCTCATTGAAATTGATGCAGAGAAGTTGGAGGTGTGGGTGACTCCCGGCAGCCGTTCTTGTCTTGTTCTTCGCAAAGTGGCCAGACAATGGTAACGTTGTTCAGCAGCTTGTCAATAGCTACAGCTTTGTGAACTACAGCAGCATTTCTCAAGCTCCACCTGTGGCAATACAACAGTTACTCTGGAGCTATACCACCCTGTAGACACCCCCCCCCCCACCCCATGCTTGGTGGGCACTGGGGAGAGTGGAGCTGATCACTTGCCAATGGAGCAGGAGCCTGCACTTGCAGTGGGGCTCTGATGCTGCAACATGCTCTGGAAATACGCCACAAGGTACATGGCGCCCCTACAGACCCAATACAAGGAGCTGGAGCTGTTGTGGGTTTTGTCACCTTCAGCATACAGTCTGGGTATAAATGTTGTGAGCTGATGGGCCTTTTGTTGCTGAGCATGTATCAAGGGAGAACAAGTCAAGATGCAGTTACCCAAAATTGTACCCTAATGAGCCTTAGGATCCCATGATTATAAATTGGTCAATTGTGCAGAATACTCCCTTTAACAAAATTGCTATGGAGAAGAACCTATGAATACGTGCTTGGCCAGTCTGGGACCCCAAGAAATGTAATTCAAATTGGCTAAATAGGTGAATTTTAAGTGGATTAGTTGAACTGTATTTAGCCTCTGTGTGGATGCTTTCTTTCAGAGTCAAAACGGCCTTTAACGTCGGGCTACAAGGCAGTGAAAAGTAACCACACTTCGTTTTGGTAAATTATTGGGCTGCCTACTATAAACATCAAATGATCTGGTAGTACTTTATAGACTAACAAAACATATAGGTGATATCATGAGGTTTCATGGGCACAGCCCACTTCTTCAGATGACCGGAGTTTTGAGTTTAGGATGTGCAGACCCAAAATAAATAGGAGAGAAGCGGGGAGAAGGAGACAGGGAGCGAGTCGGGTAGGAGACAGGGAGCTAGAGAGAATCAGTACATAGCTGAAGACTGGGTAGTTAAAAAGAAGCAGGTAAGAATCAAAGTCAGTTGATAGTATCCTGGCTGACACAGGAATCTACACAAAGAGCTGTCAGCAAGGATACTATCAATTGACTTTGACTCTTATCTGCTTTGTTTTAACCACCCAATCTTCACTTTTTTTTTAATTGTATCCTTTGGTATCTATGGTTGTGACTATTTTCTTCCACTATTTGATCTGAGGAAGTGGGTCTGATGGCCCTCTCACCATGCAGCAAAGTGCCCCTCTGTGTCTGGGAAGAGACCCTGCCCCTCGACGGTGCTAGATGGCTGAGAGGTGAGGCAGGACACGCCTCTCCCAACAGCCACAGCGGCAGTGGTGTGCCCCAGTCCCCAGAGCCACCACAGCTCAGCAGCAGACCGGGGACCAACAGTTGGGAACTGCTGATTTAGACCAGTACCAATAACCCTCTTATCCAAGATCACTCCTATCTTTTCCTCCCATGTGCAGATTTTTCCATGTATGTGTAGAATATATTTTTTGTGCACCAAGGCATGTGCGACTGTACACCATCAGTAGAAACAAAGCAAACACAAAACCCCCCACCAACCCATGGGTGCTCTGCTCATCAGCTGGGTCACATTTTAATCTCTTCTGTGCAGCTGCACAACTGCACAGCTTACAGGGAACCCTGTCCAACCTCCTGCCCTTATAGCTGTCAAGTTTTTCCTAATATCCAACCTAGATCTCTCTGCTTCTATCAGTTAGAAGCAACACTAGCTTCTAGGACACAACACACTCATTACAGTAAACACACACAGTGGCGATTTTGAAATTAAAAACCCAAGTCTTATGGAAACTATGAACTTAAGTATTACCCAAAGATCTTTTTTCTTTTTCCATTAGTACAATTATTTACTGTACAAATCTTATTTGTTTAGTATCATATGAAGTATTGAGTGAGAATTTCTTTTTTAGGTAAAAAGAAGGTAGGTTTCCTATCAATTTTTTAATGATACTATCATACATCAGCAATATGGGTAAGTTCTTAATCTTTTCTTCCTCTGTAAGACTTCCTCCTCCTTTCTCTAGTTTGGCAGCACCTAACAGAAAAATGGTAAGTTATCCAAGAGACACATACAGGCAGTCCCCGGGTTACGTACAAGATAGGGACTGTAGGTTTGTTCTTAAGTTGAATCTGTATGTAAGTCGGAACTGGTGTCAGCCGCTGCTGAAACTGATCAGTTTCAACAGCGGCTGAATCTGGACACCAGTTCTGACTTACATACAGATTCAACTTAAGAACAAACCTACAGTCCCTATCTTGTACGTAACCCGGGGACTGCCTGTATCTGTCTAGTAGAATTGGTTTGTGACAAGACAGCCACTTGAAGATCTTTTAAACAGTGATTAGGAAGATTCATGTGTTCCCCAATAGGTGTCTGTATGTTTCCTTTATGTATATCTGATTTGTGTCCCCCTCCCTCCTTCTCCCCTATTTATTTTGGGTCTGCACATCCTAAACTCAAAACTCCGGTCATCTGAAGAAGTGGGCTGTGCCCACGAATGCTCATGATCCCATCTACATGTTTTGTTAGTCTATAAAGTGCTACCAGACCATATGTTGTTTTTTCTGTACAGACTAACTCGAATACCCCTTGAAGCTACTATAAAAATGCTTGGTCATGTGTCTGTGCAAATGAACCAAACCCAGGCATGATTTAGAAGTACAATAACCTTGAGAGATCAAAACCCTTCACGTGCAGCCCCTGCACACTGAGAAATAACTGCTCTCTAGCAGGCCCCAAAGTCTCCATGCCTGAAACACTTGAGTGAGTACTGGGCATCTGTGAGAGATCTCTTCTGGGTGAGTTGCCACTTCATTGACACATCTCCACTGCCGAGAAGAGCGTTACTATATCAGATTCCTTTTAGTTATTCATTCCCAACAGTTATTAGTGATTAGCCAGGTGTATGGACTTCAAAGGAGATAAATATTTGCTGGGCTGTGGCAGTGGCTCTTTCTGGAAGCTGGTTTCCCCCAGCTGCTGTCTGATGTGCTTTATTAGGTTCGAAATGAAAACAAAATAAAGAGGAAATGGAGCAGAGAAAATGACCAGCTAATTCTTTACACTTAAAGCCAATTTTTTTCTCGTTCTAAAACCTCAGTTATACTCCATAAAAGGCTTGTTACTGTCTGCTTATTTCCTATTGGATTTCAGCACATGATCCATTGGTCACTCTATGATTTATTTCTGTCACACTGATTATTATTGTTTTTGCTGGAGAAAGCAGGGGAAAACCTAGTCCTGCATGGATGGCTGAATTGTAGATGTAGTGTGCTCTTTGTTAGGATTCAGTGAGGTCTGTTTGCTGCTTACTGGAAATTACAGGAGAGCATTTTGGCAGAGGTTACAGAGACACTTATAGAAGCTGCAGTGAAAGGTGCCTGCAGCTCCCATTTCTTTTAATGCACACCATGTCCCTGACTAGCTAATGGTTACTCCAGTTCTGCATTTTGCTCTCTTGGTATGAACCTCTCACAAATCAAATGAAATCACTCTTCCCTGAGTGGAGACTTGCATGCGGTAAGACTGACGTCTAGTGGGCAGACATAGCAACATCCTTTCAAAACATCTTGAGTCTCGTTGGACACAATTTTCATGACTGCAGATTGAGAAAGAGGGAATGGATGTAGGAAGACTTGACACAGTGGCCTTTGTAATGGCTATGAGTCTCCTTATACCCCCGCCATAGGTGAATCTTTTTTCCACTTCCTAGCTACAGAAAAGATTTTCTTCTGGATGCCCATAGTGCTTCCTCCCTCCTGTATGGTCCATGGAAGGGGCATCTCTCCAGGTGACTGAATTCTTTCAGCTCCAAGAAATATTTTAAAACAGGGTAAAAGTTTAACTTTCATCTGAGACCATTAACTTGCTCAAAAATAGCAGGAGTGGGGCTGGAAGGCCTGCAGTTGGCTCCACCCTGAGCTAGAGATTGTTGCCCTGCGTTTGCAGTTGTCTTCCGAGTTGATTATATGGAAATAAAAACCATTTAAACTCTGTTCGCTTCCTGCTTGGCATGTGAGGATAGGAGAGAGCAGGCTGCTGCTGGCTTCTTGAAGCCCTGCGCAGGAATGTCCCCTGCTCCCTGGCACATATTAAAAAGCAAATAGAGGGCCCCTGTGCTGCTCAGAGCCCTGTGCATGCTTATTCTGCCTGTGCCTAGCAAGGCACTTGTTGCTGGGGGTGAAAGGAGATAGGGAGCAAGGGGCATGTTTCCCATTTGGGAGGTGTTAACGGGCATTATCTTTTTCTCATTGCAGGCAAAGCGGGCAGTGCAGCGAGGTGCCACAGCTGTCATCTTTGATGTGTCCGAAAACCCAGATGCCATTGACCAGGTACAAAGCTGGGAGTTCAGGCTTATCCCAATCTCGGTGGGCTTTACCCTCACTGTTATGGCTCTGTGAATCGGGAGCTGGTTTTTACTCTTGTGATACAGCTGTCCTGGGATGGACACACCTGCTCTTCTCTCTGGGGCTGTGGTGTTTGGTTGGGTTTTCCTTCCCCCTCTTTACGCACTAACTCCATGGAGGGTGATATGGAATTTTTGATCCTTTTTTATCAGTGGCATTTCTATTTATGCTTTTTCCTGTGGAGGGAGGGCTGCTCCAGGAAAGGGAAGGTGAGTGTGTACTCTGCTTTGCCAAGCATACACACGCACCAAGTACCACCTCAGCTTTTCCATTCCTTATGTTATCCAGGGTACCCTCTTTACCCCGCTGCCCCATCTCCAAGCGGAGAGCATTTGTGTTCAGGGTGGAGGAGATGCTTCAGAGGATGCCACTGCAGTTCAGGTTGCAAAACATTTTCTGCTTTTGCACTGCTGTTCTCTCTCCCTCCTCTTACTGGAACATTCATTCCAAGGTGTTGCCTCTTGCTGGAGTGCTTTGTTTTGTGTGTGTCACTTGTATACACTTCGGGAGGGTCGGGTTGTGTTTTTATGGGAAGTTTTGAGCAAAATCCCTTCAGCCAGTTCTGAGTAAAGGGAGCTGGAAAATACTTTTACAATCATGGAAAAGAATTCTAACTATGCTTTTCTGAAAAGGGCTACAGCAAAAGTAGCCCTTTTATGAAAGTTAATTTTGGGCTGTGTATAGTCCTCATGGATGAAAGCCTGCATAGTTAGGTTTGAAAGAACCAGCTACAAACGTGTTTGGAAACTGAGTACACACCAGCTACGTCTAGACTGGCATGATTTTCCAGAAATGCTTTTCTGCAAAAGCACTTTTTGCGGAAAAGCGTCCATGGCCAATCTAGATGCGCTTTTGCACAAAAAAGCCCCGATCACCGTTTTCGCGATCGGGGCTTTTTTTGCGAAAAACAAATGTCAGCTGTCTATACTGGACCTTTTGTGCAAAAGTTTTGTGCAAAAGGGACTTTTGCCCGAATGGGAGCAGCATAGTATTTCCACACGAAGCACTGATTTCTTACAGTAGGAAGTCAGTGCTTTTGCGGAAATTCAAGCGGCCAGTGTAGACAGCTGGCAAGTTTTTCCGGAAAAGCGGCTGATTTTCCGGAAAAACTGGCCAGTCTAGACACAGAAACTATGTATAGTAGAGACTGCAAGTGGAGGTGTAAAATATTAAAACTGATCACCTGTGTATAACTGGGGCCCTGATTCTGCATCGTTTACTCACATAAGTCGTTCATGCATTTTCACACATAGAAGGAATCTTCTAATGATGAAACTGGCTACAGAAGCAAGTGAAACTCTGAGTGTTGGTGTCTAATCTTCTCTCCTTCTAGAAACCTTCCAGCTGCCTCCTCATAGGCCCACTCTGCTGCTTCTGTGCCAGACACAGCTTCTCACACTAGCTCAGCTTGGGTCTTGAGGAGTTAGCCCCTCACTCATTGGTTGTGTTGACAGCTCTCCTTTCTCTGCACTCCTGGTCTTCTCATTCTTCCCCGTGCTTAGTCCGTTCCTGCTCGTGCCAGCAGGGATAGTGCTGTGGCCAGGATGCAGACATGATAGCACTAAATCAGCAGGCAGTGGCCCTGTGGGAGTTCACTGCTGACCAGGGAGGGTGCTTCAGAGGTGGATGCACAGACTGAAGTCAGGGCTCCACTGCACAGGAGTAGACTGGTTCTCGGAGAAAGTGACACAATGTCCTGTACAGAGATGAACAGAGCTACGGCCTGTGGGACAAGTGGTCAGAATCAGCTCACAGGGAATCTGCCCTGTGCTTGCAAGGCTGCCACATATGCCCCTCACCTGACTCAACACTACGACCCTTGACACCATGACCCCCTGGGCCTCAGAACTGTTCCTTTCCAGGATATTACTCCACCTAAAGATAGTAGCTTCCCTAATGGAAATCCACGTGTGGTCATGTGACAGTCCCTGGTCCGTGCTTCACAGATTTCACGGGGTAAGTGTGCGCTCCCCTTGCTCTCCAGCCCATTCTCAGAGCAGCGTCCAACAGCTCCAGATGCTGTCAACACCAGAGCTCTTGCAGAGCGGACAGCTCAGGACATCTGGTCCATACCAATGCCACACCCACCAGTAGTTGTGGGACTGCTCCACAAGAGGAAGCTGGCCATGGCATCACCCCGGTCTCCACAGAGGCACCATTCCCTCTCTATTGGAACAGCGAAGGTCCAACCCAGGGGTGGGCAAAAGCCGCTCGTGCGTCCTGACTTCCTGGCAATTCACTAGCAGTGCCAGAGCTGCGAGCCCTTTCAACTGCTTCTATTTAAAGTGCTCACTCCTGCCAGGCAGCTGGGTTGCCTGGCTGCCATCCGGCAGGCCAACCCCTTTAAATAGAAGCAGTTGAAAGACTCTAGCATCCCCAGCTCCCAGGAGTGTGCTAGCAGTGAGGCTGGGAGCAGTGAGCTCTTAAATAGCAGGATTTGAAATGGCTCGCAGCTCCTGCCTCCAGCTAATGTGAATCATAGAATCCTAGAGCTGGAAGAGATCTCAGGAGGCCATCAAGTCCAGCCCCCTGCTCTAGGCAGGACCAAACTCAATGAAATCAACCCGGCCAGGGCTTTGTCAAGCCAAGAATTAAACACCATCTCATGATCACTGCTTCCCTGGTTGTCACCCACCTCCACTTCCCCTATTAGTTCCTCCCTGTTTGTGAGCAGAAGGTCAAGCTGCGCACGGCCACTGGTCGGATCCTTCAGCACTTGTACCAAGAAGTTATCCCCAACATTCTCCAACAACTTCCTGGATTGCCTGTGTACTGCCGTATTGGTCTCCCAACAGATGTCAGGGTGATTCAAGTCCCCCACGAGAACCAGGGCCTGCGATCTGGCAGCTTCTCTCAGTTGTCTGATGCCACTGCCACTCATCTACCTCATCCACCTGATCTGGTGGTCCATAGCAGACACCAACCACAACATCACCTCTGTTGTTTCCATCTCTAAACTTAACCCATAGATTCTCTCAACAGGCTTTTCTCCCTCTAAATACTGGAGCTCCGAGCAATCCTACTGCTCTCTTACATACAATGCAACTCCTCCTCCCTTTCTCCCCCGCCTGTTCTTCCTGAACAGTCTGTACCCTTCCATGACAGCGCTCCAGTCACATGAGTCATCCCACCAAGTCTCCATTTGTCCAGTCAAATCATTGTTCTTAACTGGGCCAGGGCTTCTAATTCTTCCTGTTTGTTTCCCAGGCTTCTTGCATTGATGTACAAACACTTTAGATAACCAGTTAATCGCCCTGCCTTCTCCATCCGAATCAGGGGGTCCTCCTTTGTTTTCTATTCCTTTCTATTCCTGCTATTTAAAGGCCCCACCCCTTCTGCCCAAGGCTCTGCCCCTTCCAGGGTAGCCTGCAACTACTTCAAAATATTTTGAAGTGGCCTCCATTCAAAAATTATTGCCTACACCTTGGCTAATCTCTTTGCAATGAGCACCACAGAGCTCACAGCATGGCCCCTGCAGCCCAGCCCAGCCCAGTCCAGTCCCTGCTGGGGCCC